CACATACACATGCACATAAATTCTCCTGTCTATTGATGGGGAGCGCCACCTGCTGGAAACTGGGTGCAGCGTCCCATGAACATCGTGAATAAGGCATCAACCGGGACCCCCCACACACACTCTCTTCGAGTTGTGTATAGCGAACATGACAAAACATACATACAACATATTCACTACCTTACCCTAACCAAACGAACTACGGGCTGCGCACCTGTGCCCTCACGGTAAGTCAATTTAAGTTCAATACCACTCTGTGCCTGCGGCTGGATTTGGTGGTGGAGCGTCCCCCCACAGCTGATCCGTGGGCGCTGCAATTTATGATGGCAAATCTCGGTTGTGGACGCATATCAAGCAACCCATCCAGATGGCAGGGACTTCACATAGTTTGGCTCCATTGCGAAGAGAAGAAGTCTCCGCGAAGTCGGGTGGATATGATTTGGGTGACGTCCCGGATCTTCAGGCAGGGATGGGAGGTGTGGCAGGCATCGACTGCTCTCTCAGACCATTCGCAACTCATGGCGGCCTTCCCTGTTGAAAATTTGGAGATAGGCCGCCGTCCCCCGTCGCTCCCTGCCTGGGTTTTTGATAGTCCCCAACACTGCTTGCTTGTTCAGCAACATTCGTCGAGTTGGGTGCGGCGACAGCCTCAAGGGATGAATAAGTGGGCCCGGTTCATGCAGGGAGGGCAGAACCTTAGAACATGCCTCCATAACAGGGGCCCCGAAAACGGTCAAATGGAGAACGAATGGTGGGCGGAGAGAATAGAGGTGGTCCAGGCCTGGAAGGAATGGGAGAGAAATGAGCGACGAAATGGGGACGGAAGTTGAAAGGGGGGATGTTTGGCGGTGGGCGAAAAGATGGATAGGCATTTCTTTAAGGAGAGTTGTGGAGCACAAGGGGGTCGAAGGTGGGATGGGTGGCGGTGGGCAAAACGATGGTTAGGCGTTTCTTTAGGGAGTTGGGGAGCATAAGGGGGATTGCAGTCGTCACAGCCATGGACCACCCCTTTGACGAGCGGATGATGGGAAGACAGGAGACCACAAGAGGAATAATTCGCACTTGTTTGCAGAAGAGGAGTGGACGGAACAACCGACAGGCGGAGTGTGGTGGCATATCACAGCAAAGAAAACTACAGCCGATGCTGCAGCCCTTTCAAACGGATCATACAGTGGAGGAGATGGAGACGGTGATTGCTGAACTCCCGAGGTTGAAAGCGCCAGGGATAGATGGTATCCCGATCGAACTGTACAAAATGCTCCACCGCTTCTTTGCACCCCATCTTGCTAGTGCTTTCAACGGTGCGCTTCATGAAGGGGACTTCCCACCGGCTTTGCAAATGCCTTTGTGCTGCTCCTCTGTAGGAAAGGGGCCAGGGAGGATGTTAAGAACTGGCGGCCCATTCTATCCTCGATGTTATCTACAAGTTGCTGTCAAAGGTGCTGGCAAACAGATTGGGCCTCTTGTTGCCTTCAATCATTAACCCTACTCGAGCGGGTTTCGTATCGGGAGGGCAAATTGTTTCCAACATCGTATTGGCGAGGCAGGTGTTGCAGCAGGCGGATATCCATGGTCAGCTGATGGTCTTCATCACCATTGACCTGGAGAAGGCCTATGATAGGGTCAGGTGGGAATTCCTCCTGCAGGGGATGCGGCAAAGGGGAATAGGTGCGGGATTTTGTAGATGGACCTACCTCCTTTTAAACCACCAGTACCTCGCTCAGCTATCAAGTCCGAGGCTCAGACTACCGGTAGCCCGATCATCCCCGAGCCTCAGACTTTATTGCCGAGCCTCGGACAACCGGTAGTACACAACCGAAAAAGAAAAAAAAGAAAAAAACAACAAAACGTACAACATTCTGCAAAAAAAAGAG